CTTCCACCAAAAAACAGCTGCAGAGAAATGAAGTTAAGCAGTCTTAGCTCAAACACCGGGCTCCTGAGTGCTGAGCCTTTTCCCTTTCATATAATAACATCTCTCAAGGCCTCCTTGCTGGATTCATGCAGATTAAAAGACATGTCTGAAGTGACTGGCACATAACAAGCACGCACTCAGTGGAGGCTGGTGTTGTTGATACCTCATTCAACCTTTTCATTTTATTTTTTAAATTTTTTATTGATTAATTTTTTTTTCAGTACTAGAGATTGAACCCAGGGGTGCTCTACCACTGACCTGTATCTCCAGCCCTTCTAACTTTCTATTTTGAGATAAGGTCTTGTTAAGTTTCCGGAACTTGCTCTCTGCCTGCCTCAGGCTCCCGAGTTGCTGGGATTCCAGGTGTGCCCCTCTGCACTACAACCCTCTCCTTTTGGAGGTGAGGGACCTAAGGCACAGTTTATGTCAATGACCATCCCGACACGTATGCTTGGGTAGACTCAAAGTCAACTCTCCTGATGGCCACAATTTTCATTTTCCCTTATGCTATGCTCTTTTGGGGGAAAAATTAGCAGGAAAGGGAACGTAATATTTTGAGGGATTTGAGGAAAAGGGTGGGGTGGGAGGCCAGCCAAGGACATATGAGGAGCCAGACCCTTCTCCAGAATTTCCCCAGCCACAACGAAGTAGGTCCTATTATTCCATTCTGCAAATTTCAGATCTGAGCACAGAGAGGTAGTGGACCTGCCTGGAGCCCTCACTCGGTGAGGAGAGGGCTGATATTTGAACTGTGGCCTCTTTGACTCCAGTTCCAGTGCTTTTTCTGCATTGCCAGCTCAGATATGGGGCCCAAGATCAAAGTCAGAGTAGATACAATTGCGACCTCTGGTTGTGAGATGGGATGGGCAGGCTATTGAGGTCATTCCTTCAGAACATCGAGAAAAATCCTGGACTTGGGGAGTTGGCCTGGGATGTGGGGGTATTCTACCCCAGGGGAGGAGACAGCAGTTCTTGAAATGCAAAGTGGAAAGATTTTTCCTTGGCGTACTAGGAAGCCATTAAGAACCATTTGGTTTCCACACATCTAAGAGAGCCTCTGAGCCACTTTTGCTGGGTAGGGTGATTTTCAAATGGCAAGGAAAGTGACATTGCACCCACAGGCTTTGGGGTCATATGCCAATGGCAGATAGGAAATGTTCTGGCAATCTTGGGCTTTATTTTTAAAATTCATGTAAAATTTAAAGAGATGCATTTCTTTCCACAATATATCCTCCTGTGGGTCTGTGTTTGCACACACATGGGCACATGTGCATAGACACACACCCCAATCTTTAAGCTCTGATACAGGAAGAGCTTCTGGGCCTTCACAGTGGCTTCAAATGCTCTCTGCCTCCCTGCCACGTACCATCATCCCCACCCTGAGGTACGTGTACCCAGGTCCAGTACTTAATTACCTGAGCCAGGGAAGGAACTGAGGTAATGGTCAAGGTACAAAGGGGCATAGCTGGTCATAAGGACCTGCTCAGTGTGGCTCAACTGAAGCAGATCAGGGAGTTACAAGACTAGCTCCAGTTCATGCAGTAGCTGTGACACTAGAGCCTTGGTCCCTAAGTCTTGGTCCGTGTGCGTCAGCACAAGCCTCTGGGCAGCAGAGCATACTCATTCGATGGGTTGCCTCTTCTGCATGCCTGGCATGTTCCTGGGAAATGGTGCTTCCCTCTGGGACCTGAACATTCTCACAATCAGTTATGAGGTACAACTTGCCCTCAACCCACCTGGGTCTACCAGAGTTGCCAAACACCATGATTCTCGCACCTGACCTCTCCTTCGTGTCCTTTTGGATGACTAGACAGACAGATCAGAAATATGGAGTCCTGTTTGGACTTGAGCAAGGCATTTGACAAGCCATTTCATGATAGTCCCAACATGAAGAGGGGGACTGGATTCTGGATGGACTTTGTGAACTAGGAAAGGGTCAAAGGGCCACATCCAAACGGAATGGGTGAATCCAGCTACGTCAGCCTAGATGGCATTCATTCTTGGGGATGTCAAGGAACCCTGTCTTGGGCCGCATCTTACTCCACACTCTTATTAACAACTAGAATGGTGGAGGTGGAGGAAAAGGATGAGGGTTATTGAGATCTCCAGGTGTCTATTTTACCTAGATGATTTCTTCTATTTCTCACATTCTGCGGGTAAGGTAGCCAGTGTCGCTCCTCTACAGACCAGGAAATGAAGGCCTAGAGAGGGTAAGTAACTTGCCTAAGGTCTCACAGCCACCAGAGGGTCTGACCCCCAAGGATGGGCCAGGATCCACGCGTGTCACAGATCTCCTCACTCAGGGGCAGGTGACAAGATGGCAGGGATAGACAACACAGAATTTCAAAAGGCTAGAACTTAACCCTGAGGCAAAATGACTGCACACCAAGATAAGAGACAAGAGACCTCTGCTCACACTGGGGTTCAGAATACCACCAGACCCAGACAGGATGTGGGGGACCTGGGTCAGCAGCACAAGTGAAACGGTGCTGGGTTTTAGTTGACAGGAAGTTTCATATGAGTCAGCGGTGGGATGTGGCAGCCAACAAAGCTGGTGTCACCTGTTGCCTTCACAGGGGAGGAGAGATGCCCAGTGAGGGTAATGGACCAGCTAGGAGCCAGGAAATGGAGCTCAGGCCTGGACGTCTTGGGGGAGAGGGCTCCAGTCACCTGGCTCTGGGGAGGGCCAACGGGGAGGTGCATGCATGCACCACTCTCCTCATCCTTGGTCATTTTCCAAGAGAGTTGGTGAGTTCGTATCTTTCTGAATAGTTGCAGCCACTTTTTGGTTGTTATGCATAAATGTACTATGCATTCAGTTTTGAATTTTTATTAATATCTCTGAGTAAATGTGGGGATTCCTTGTGACCCAGTCTCTAAAGTATAAAGTTACATTCCAAGAAGCACAATCCAGGACCAAAATAAAGTAAAAGCCATTTCAATCTCGACCCACTGAGGTATACCCCTTCACTTCTTCACCTCCTTATTTTGTACTTCAAAACTTCCCCAGAAACACCCACTTTAGATTAAACACCTCAAACTCTCCTGACAACTAGCCAGCCTATATGCCGTCTCTCTTTGGTCCTTCCTGACCCTATTATATAGGTGGGCTTACCATGGGTCTTCTTTTTTCATTTTTCTTTCTGTTTTTGTTTTGTTTCATACCGGGAATTGAACCCAGCATCACTTTACCACTGTGCCACATCCCCAGCCCTTTTTATTTTATATTTTGAGACAGGGTCTCATTAAGTTGGTGAGGCTGTTCTAGAACTTGGGGTCCGCCTGCCTCAGCCTCCTGAGTCACTGGATTGCAGGCATGCACCACTGCGTCCGGCTGTGTCTTCTTTTTTCTTGTCCCTCCTTCTCATCCACTACATTATTATTATTATTATTATTATTCTCCTCCTCCTCCTCCTTCTCTTCCTCTTCCTCGTTCTTCTTTTCCCTGCTTTACTACTGACCTAAATTCCTCCTTACCAAGGGAAGGTCAAGAACTGATTTAGCAATCCAGAAGGCTCCTTCCCACAGGCTGGGCATATAACTCAGCGGTGGAGTCCTTGTCTAGCATGTGTGAGATCCTGGGTTTGATCCCAAGTACCACAAAATAAAGATGTAAATAAAGACAAATAAAAATGAATTAAAAGACTAGACAGGTGACTCAGTGGTAAAGTACCCCAGGCACTTTAATCCTCAGTACCGAGAGAGAGGAAGAAAGAGAGAGAGAGAGAGAGAGAGAGAGAGAGAGAGAGAGAGAGAGAGAGAGA